CTCTTGCACACTTCCGACACCCAAACACCGACAGAAGTGCCAGGTTTTAATAATGTGCCTGGTAAAAAGCTCTTTAGATTTTTAAATTTGCTGCTGTTATTAACTAGTCATGGAGTGTGTCAATCACCTGGCCAGTGTTTCTGGAGGAGATAACGCAAACATCAGCTGGATTCTCGATGGCAACAATGGCACGAGCAGCCAACAGCAGTTTCTCCCAGGTCTTCTTAAGGTTGATGATGTACACGCCTGCAGAAATGCAAACGTCCGATCAGTTATAGTGGTTCCTAAACGGTCACCAAAAAAAAACCTTTGATAAAACTTTCTTGATTTTGATTAAATATTTCCATAAATTAACATTCACGTAAGCATTAACTGATATCAGAGAACCATGAACATGACATGCAGATAAACAATTTCTCTTTATGGATGTATCTTTTGATTGCTTTTAATTTTTATATTTACAACATAAGGTGGCACAATTGTAAAAATTGATTGTCAAACCATGATGAGAAACATTTAATCTCATACCAACTACATTTAACTATCATGTAACAAATTAATATTGTGATTAATTTGTAGTTTTTATATACAAGTAGCAAAACTTGTGTTTCAAACATTAAACCCTCAAGTTTTTATTTTGGTCAGAAATTATTTTTGGTTGACCATGGGTTTATAAATGTTTCTCGTTACACAAGTTTTTCTTCAAAAATGGTAAAAATTGTCAATGTGGATAAAGTGGTCCAGGTTCACGTGTTCCAAAATAATTAACTTTAATGACTGGCTAACTCTTTTCAGACTAACACAAACTGAATGCTGTCAATTCGACTTTTCTTTGCTTTTTTTAAACGAGAGGGGTTCTAATATCATTTTCCATCACACCACAAAAGAAAACTGGCCAACCAATAAGATGCATGCTTTGCCACTTTCTACTCATTGGTCTGAACAAACAAACTACATACACAAAAATCTGACCAATGCTGGTATGAACAGGTACACATCACAGCTTTTTATATTTTATGATTTAATTCAGCTTTTAATGAACTTTCAAACCACCTGCAGTTTCCTCACAAACCCCTGTAAAGTACAGTAAACTACAAAGATTGATAAAGCACCAGAAAGGCATATCGCAGCCAAATCACCCATGTCTTGTTGCACTTCTTACCGTCACTCTTTCTCTTGTAGACGTACTGCTCCATCTGGAAGTCCAGGTTGGTTCCTCCCAGATGGGTTCCTGCTGCCAGGAACTTCAGCACATCCTCCTCCTTCATCTGAAGGACATCCAGACCTCCGGACATCGTGACCCCTTTCCCTGCGTAACGAGTTTAGTGGGAGAGCTGTGAGGAAACACAGGAGCGTACAGGAGGCTTAGTCGAGAAGAAATTATTCAAGGGAAGTCTTTCTGGCTTGAAGGACGACTGTAGCTCAGGTTGCTATCAAACCCCAGTCATAGGACGCATCAGCCCTGCTGGTGTTAGCGAAAACCCGACTGAATCACTTTAGCACACTTCCGACACCTCCACACCGACATCAGTGCGAGGCTTTAACGGTATGCAGTCATCATTAGCATCTACTCTCCCGCTAACTCACTGAGGAAATGTGTAACTTATTTCAACAATCAACTAAAAGAGATATTAAAGGTATGTAGACATTTGATGTCCATCATAATACTCCTCCATGTTAAATATTCTTGAGTGACCACCGCGCGCTACACGGACTGTAGCAGTACACGCGCTTCCTTGCGCGAGATTACACGTTGCGACTCAGGCCTGCATATTTTAAGAGAACTGGCGCAAACTTCAAAAATTAACATGATATTTGATGAATATTGGCAATTATGGCCTTTATTCAAAATAGTGCGACTCAAATAGACGATTAAAAGTCGTCAAAATTATACAATTTCTGCTCACCACGAGACAACGCCGTATGGAGTTCTGCACCTCGCGGCGAAAAGAGGGCGGGATGAGGAAATGACGTCCATTATATACACGGGTGTCCACCAATCACACTAAGAGATTTCTTGCTCTTTGCTTTCCTTCGGTCTTATAAAAATAACATACTACCCCTACTGGTGGAGGATTTCACACGCGAGCGGTCTATACTCACACAGTAGTCGTCAGTTGTTGATATTTTTCTTGATTAGGTGAAATAAAGACGGGTCTCAAAAGGTTCAGATTTAGGTTAAAAGGCTTAAAAGGTTAAAGGTTTAGTGTGCGTGTTTTCAAGGTAAGAGTTAAAATGATTTGCTAATGCATGGACTGTTTTACACTCCATCAACAATATAGCGAGTACAAATCAGGGTCATTATAGTTAAAGGGGTCATATGATGCGATTTCAATTTGTCCTTTCTCTTTGGAGTGTTACAAGCTCTTGGTGCATAAAGAAGATCTGTAAAGTTGCAAAGACTAAAGTCTCAAATCCAAAGAGATATTCTTTATAAAAGTTAAGAGTTAACCACGCCTACCTAAAACGGCTCGTTCTAACACGCCCCCACATGTCTACGTCACTATGTGGGAAGATTTGCATAACGCCGCCCAAATGTTCATGCAAAGAACGAAGGCGTAACTTTTATTCTTGCTGTAGTATTGTTGCTGCTGCCGCCATGTCGTGAAGGCGCTGTGTGCTTCGTTGTGAAAGCGAAACTACTTTGTTTGGTCTTCCAAAAAAGGACGATATCGCTTCGTCATGCCTGGAGCTGATCCGTGCTGGTCGCTGAGGAAAAACTTCAACTTCGCGCTGTGGATCGCCGGATCGGCTTTCACTGTGGACGAAGCGGAGTCCAGCACGGGGTCGTCACATGTGATTGCAGGCATCACAGTATGGTATCATTTCCGTCACACGCTTGAGGAATCCGGCCAATCACAACGCACTGAATAGCTGGCCAATCAGAGCACACCTCGCTTTTTCAGACCGATGAGCTTTGTAAAAATCGACGCGTTTCAAAAAGGCGGGGCATAGAGGAGAAACAATAATGTACAGTATGTGGAAAATGTGTTTTTTGAACCTTAAACCGCATAAACACATTTCATTACACCAAATACACAAAATAATGTTCTTTTTAGCAACATCATATGACCCCTTTAAGTAAAACTAAAAACATACAATATTGTTACTTTAAATAAATAAACATTAACTTAAAATAATAAAATAAAAGTCAACATTCCCCATTTTCATTTAGTGTGGCTTGATAAACTAAAACAACTATAACTAAACCAAAAATGATTTTAAGTTACATATACATATGTAAAAAAAAAAAATATATATATATACTAGTATCTCGATTAAACTAACACTGGTACCAGTAGGCAATGTTAACAAAAAATACATAATAAATAAATAATAAAAATGAAAAACTAAATGATTAAATAAACTCTAAAATTTGAAATATTACATTCTAAATAAGCAAATGACATCATGTCATGCATTGTCTTGTATATTGTTTATTTTGACCATGTAACGTCCATCAAATAGCAGCACAAGTCTAATGTCTGCATTCTGGTTCATGCTGGACATTATTATGATATCATCATTTCCTTAGGGAGCCTAGCTGGGTTTTCATAACTATGCTTGAGTCATTTTGCAGTTAGGTAAATAAAAGCTGACAGGAGACTGATGAGGTCTGATGTGTTATAATTACTGCTCCCCGTTTGATTTGTCACTGCAGTGCTTCTGTCCCTCTAGGTGTCCTCATACCTGACCCCCTTTACACTGTCTGGAGTCATCAGGCTGTCAGGGTTTGTACCGTCAGCAGCACCCAGCAGAGCACAGAATAACAGCAAAGCAAGACCATTTTGTGCCACGCTAACAGTATACTAGACCATTGTTCTCTGTTTTTTTCCCTAGCAAAAAGCACAAAAAGAGCATTATTGATTTTTATCCATCTTCACTAGGGTGTTAAAAACTATTACCATTTATAAAACAGGGCAGATTTATTCACATATTAAAACAGGCACGACATTTGCATGTGCAAATATTGTCACATGCAGACAAAATATCAACAATAATGGCATTAAGAAATGCTGAAGAGACAATACTGATTGTGTGTAGGCAAAAGAGTATCTCCACAGTACAGCACAATGGCTTACATAGCAACATGTGACCAACACACACACACACACCCAGAATCAGTTTGAATGCAATCATCTTCACTGAATTTAAAGTGCTTTCACAAACTATATGCATGTAGTGTGCAGTGATCGAAACTTATGAACCCACTTAACTGATATAAAACTAGTGTATCACTAGGCTCCAAATGTCTTCCAAACATCATACTATGGGAACTGAACTGCATTCTGCAGCAGATAATCTTGCTGTGTCAGGAAGAAGCCAATCTAATTTTAATCAAGACAATTGAAAACAAATTGTTAATGGAATTGAATTTAGCAAACTAAATTAAATTATTACTTGAGTATAACAAATTCCTGAATTTAAATAGCCAAAGTCATTTGACGTATATGGTAATGATTCCTGTGGTACAATCAAAACCTTTAATTCCTATTGGGATTGACACTAACCAGTGCACATACAGTACGAACACTCAAAGTATATACAGTGGCAAATGGTAAAGTACTATCACCAAGAAAACCGAGAGAACAAGGGGTGAACATGATCATGTCCACATGATATTAACCCCCAAAATTTCAAGAGGAAAAAAACAATACAAAAGAAAGAAATTATATTTGGCTTAAATAAATCAAAATCTATTTCAAATCCATAAAGATTTTTGCATTGTGACATTATTTACATGACAATTAAGTATATTTCCCCTAAATTCCCATTGTAATGCATCCCTGCATTGAGTTTTTTCTCCCATTATTATCAAAGGTTTTATACTACAAATTTCTGTAATTTGCTGATCTCTCCTTATAGCCCATCAGACCCTGTAGGGGCACCGAAATCAGGAACAGAGTTGGAGTGAGCACCTGCCGAAATGAACGAGAAATCTATCAGTATATACACAGAGCAAAGGAAAAAATATATATATATATATATATATATATATATATATATATATATATTCACATTAAAGTAATGACAATTTGGGGAGAAAATGTGCCTAACAGGAATTAAATTAATGTTACAATGCCAAAAATCCTAATGGTTCGCATACACTTCATTTTCTATACTAATTTTAAGGGTGAACAACCACCCGGACATGTTTTTAACAGACTTCCTAAAATTGCCCCTATGGGTCATGTTGAATTAACATTACACTGTTGTGTTCACACCGAGCACCACCGATGACACTATGGCGTCTTACAGTGGTTTTACACAAAATGTCAATACGACAAAAAGTCAATTAAAATGATCCGACAACACGTTTGCGAATACGATAAATTAGGTATTGCAATTTCTCACTGATACTTTCCACTTCAAACATTGTTTCTCAGGAACAATAACACTTGTTCTCCCGTTTCTTTAATAAATATTAAATGTTTCTCCAGGTCTATATCTTACGAAGTCTCATTCAATCCAAATCCTGGCTTTGTCTGTGCCAAGGAGTGAGCGTTCAAGGAAAAAAGAAAAAACAAAACAAAACTGAAATGCACTGATAAACCCATCCAGTCATACAGCACAGGAAATCAGTAGAACAGCACAAATCATCGCATAGAGACGAGCACTTATAGTCGGAACAGAGTATGTTGGTGAGACAGTAATGTTTTGTCAGTTGAGTTTCTCAGCCCTAGAGTAATTCGGTCTGATTGTCGGAGTGCTGGAGTATTATGTCTTTGTAACACCAGTCTCTTGGACACCCACTAAGCCTCCTCCTCGACTAAAAAGGATTTAGGCTTAGGAACTATCTTAGTCTTTGGAGTCGTGCATTTCTGAAAACCCTGCAAAGGTGGGCACTTTGCAATGACACCGAGACATGTGGTATTCTAAGGTTAGTTGCCAAGAGGGGGATTTTCTTCTTGTGAAAAGAGTGTTTTCTTGTGAGCTGACGGCACATGATTCAGCAGTCTCTCATTGGTATTCTTCAGTGCGGACCCCTGTCTCAATATGCAGGCAGACAAACTCACAATGTGGCAATTTAGGAATGTCACTGTCAGAGGTGTCACGGGGTAAAGACTCACTGCACCTGAAAACGCTAACACACACAGACAATCACACACACACAAAACTTACTATTACTGGTACCTCAGCCAACACTAGATGCTTTTGTTTTTTTATCAAGCCTTCAAGGATAATAGAACGCCATCTTTTCACCATCGTCTGAAAAGCACACACTCTTGTAACACAGAATGAAGTCCACACATAAAGTGCGTCGGGTGTCTTTAGGACTTCAGTCCCATGCGTGCCATCAGCTGCTCATACACAGTCCAGGCCATGGCAGCCATGAGGGTTCTCCTCAGAGAACGAGGAACTGCTCCTCGAAAGAACCCGCTCAAGCCATGTTTCTAAAATCAGAGAGAAAAGAATTAAAATTCTGTAACTGACTTAGTCTAAGAGACTTTAATATGCTGACAAAAATGTGACTTAAGAAACTGACACAGTATGAACTCCAAACATAAAGTACACCAAATGTGTTTAAAAACAGATTTTTAGAAATCAAAAGAAATTGTTGCGCTCTAAATTGACAAAAAGTTGCTTTTCTTTCAGGTGCGTAGAGCCAAGAAAATACTTGAACAGAAAAGGTAGCTGGCCACGCACGGAGTCCAATGAAGACTGAAGAGATCTAGAAAAACATGATTTATTTTATAAATTGCATATAGCAAAGAATATAAATTGCCAAACTAATATGCAATTTATAAAATAAATAGTTTTCTAGACTTCTTCAGTCTTCATTGGACTCAGTGTGCGGCTAGCTACCTTTTTCTAACATTCACGTTGCATATCCTGTGCAATGAAGCCTGCCGCGATTGTCTCTAGTGCGCACACGTGTCATATGCTGGAAAAAAACCAAGCTCAGAGTAAATTCTGAAATGTTCAGAATAGATTCATAATCGTTGAAGACAGAATCACGGTGCATTGGACAATCAATTTTTTCTCCCACCCCTAAAAAATTGAGCTAAGATTATGACAACAAATATTTTCTTTGCGAATATCATGAATCTGCACAAGGCTAGAAATGTTTATAAAGTAAGTAAATATGGTACACTACTGTTCAAAATATTTTTTTAATGTTTTTAAAGTAAGTAATTTATGCTCAAAGTCTACATTTATTTGATCAAACATACAGTAAAATCAGTAATATTGTGAAATATAATTTAAAATAACTGTTTTCTATTTGAATATATTTTAAAATGTAATTTATCCCTGTGATGCAAAGCTGAATTTTCAGCATCATTACTCCAGTCTTCAGCGTCATATGATCCTTCAGAAATCATTCTAATATGCTGATTTGCTGCTTAAATAACATTTCTTATTATTATCAATGTTTAAAATAGTTTCAACAATTTTTGTGGAAACTGTGATACATATTTTCAGGTTTCTTTGATGAATAAAATCATTTAAACACAAAATTTGAATTTTGTATTAAAACATTTTCAAAGCTCACTAAAGTTCAACAAATATGTTTTATCCCACGATGCTTACAGTATAAACATGGCGTACAGCATCGCTGGTCTTGGGATACAACGCTGGGCTCACTTGCATGTGGGTTTTGATCACGTCTGCTGGCTGAGTGGCTAGAGAGGCCAAAATACCAGCCACCACACCACAGCCAAAATTAACCAGTGGGACAAAGGAGGATGAGCTGATCTCTGAGCGAGTGAAAGAGAGCAGACATTATTAAACAATGCCATATCCTCAGATTACATCACAATCATGACTGATCAGAAGCTCACCCTGTGGCAAAGCCTTTTTGGCCTGGCTGTAGAACATGACATAGATGCCAGAGAACGGGGCGTCTCTGAGTAAAGTCGCTGTGAGCCCGGAGTAAAGAGCCCTGGGACCTTCGTTCTGACACATACTTCTAAGAGCACCAGCTACACTTATGTAATTGTACCGCCCACTCTGAAATAAAACATGCAACAGTGAATAAACACACAGATACAGCAGAAAACATGCATTTTCAATGTGCATACAGTGTCAGAGCTGAGTAATAATACTCACTTCAAAACGAGTCTTAATGACTGTGATGGGCAGCATGGCCACACCTGCCACACAACGAGCCCCCGCCCCAAGCAACACCGCCTCCCCAGCGTTCGGAGATCTATCCTGGAAGAAGTGCTGCTTCAGCGAGTAAAATGTGCTGAAGTAGATCCCTACACCAGGGATACAACGCATGAACGACTGTAGGGGACAAAGAGAGATAAACAGTGAGACAGATGCACAGTGAAACTATTTGATATACAAAAAAGAAAAAAAACAGTGATGCACTGAAATTTTGTCAACCAGTTCAGTTCAAGCGGCAGCATGGAGATGAATCAAACATCTCTTACTTTTTACTACTAGTTGTAGCACAAAATAAACATGAATGAACATCAGAAGGTATTTTGAAACGAACATCTTACTGAAATACGTCTTGTCTCATGTAACTGTTGAACCAATGTTTCAACCAAGAAAACAGCTTGTAAAAAATATGTCAGGCAATGCTACATTTACCTCAGGAATGCAATTCAATGTCCATAAACTTGAGTCAACTAAAAAAAAAAATCTATAGAGAAGCATTTTGCTAAATATATGCACTATATTGCATATTCATTATATTTTTACTTAACCGGTTGTCGTCATTATGTAACATATGTTTGAATAAATCTGCCTTGAAAACGTTTTTATTACAGTCACCCTTAAAATGTTTTTTTTTAAACATCAAATTGGAAAGGAAACATAATTCTTTTTTTTGTTTAAGTTGACAAAAACTGCCTTATGTGCAATTTAAATGTTTGCCCAACTCAGTTTTTATACGAGGTATTAAATAAATTTGACCAATTAATTGATTATTAAATAACAGTCATTTTTGATTTCATGCATCTTGAATTTTCAGTTTCAGCCCAGAATTTTCATTTCGGTGCATCACCAATAAAAACAAAACAGGTGTCAAAAAAGTGTACTTTTAATCTATACAATATGTAATAATATTCCTCACAGGACTCATTTTTGTTCGTACCACATTAAATATGTGGTCTACAGTTGCAATTAAATGAAGAATTGAAAGTATGTCTGAGATCACAACACTGATGCTGTTGTGAGATCAAACAGTGAGAGAGCACCAAAGGAAATGGACACATCAGCCAACACACTTGACTCACCGGTGAAACCCCCTTCCACAGGCCAAGCAGCTTCTCTGTGCGGATCACGTTGAAAAAGACTGTAATCATCCCCACTTTAGGAGCACTGAGAGACAAAGACAGAAATAGAAATGGTCATGACGGACACGGACAGAGAGATAAAGAAGGGTGAAGGAGACAAAAAATCTTTGAGTTTAGATGGCATGCTGAGCATATGAGGACACATAATTTGACATGGATAACATGTTATTCTCTGCGAAGCTGAGAGAGGCAGACAGTTTAATAACTGAGCACTCCCACACAGCATACCGAGAGGACGCGGTTATATAAACACAGGCACATACACTCAACACGCATCTCACCAAAAAATACAAGCTACAACCTCACAGTTGCCACAACAACTGAAAGGGTAACAAAACCACCGAACAAACCAAATGCCAGTAAATAAAAAAGTTCAACATTTAATGTTTCACACAGAGGAGCAATACCTGTATAAATAATAACTAGATTTTCATATTTTCTGAAGAAAATGCAAGTGGCGTGTGCATAAGTTAAACTCACGGTCATGATGCTTAAGTTCTGCTATGAGGTTGCTAAGGTGTTCTGAGTAGTTTGTATTGCTATGGAGTAGCTGGGGTGCTGCTGTGTGGTTGCTAGGGTGTTGTTACTGGGGTGATGCGATGGTCTGAGTAGTTTTTATTGAGTTACTATGTGGTTGCTTACCAGCTCAGGTCAAGTTTATCCCAAAATCTCTGATATTTTGGATCTGTAGATATGCTTTGCGTGTCGTAAAGGGATAGTTCACCCAAAAATGAAAATTACCCCATGATTTTCTCACCCTCAAGTAGGGCTGGGCGATATAATGTTTCATATCGTTCGGTATCGATAATTATTGACATTTTTTAATAACCTTTTATAAAACAAAGAGCAATAGAAAAAAATGTTTAAATTTAACCACTGTATTTTTAAATTAACTCAATTTATTGAGACAAACAACAAATATTTTTTGTTTTAAGTCAAACACACAATAAAGTCGTATTTGTCCGTCTAAAAATGCGCTGAATATGCGTTCTGTGTTAATGGCTTGGTTTCGGTTTTAACCTAATCAAGATCTTCTACACATTAAGCTTCTACATTTCTCTAATATTTTGAATGAATAGCGCAGCAGTGGCGTGTCTCGTGGGCTAGACTGACAAAATATTAAAATGCAACAACGTCACATAATTATCACCGCATCTCGCGCACCACTGATGACGCTCCCTGACGCACTACTAACATTCAAATGCAAATGTTTATTTTAAATTCAACTAATATAAAAACATTTTTATTCACAATCTTCTCATCACAGGCAGGCACAGCACTCAATTCAGCATGTAGTGTTCGTGTTTGTAGGTGCTGTCTGCGTCACTCATAGCACGTGCCTATATAGTGCGCTATATCGAACATTTTTTATATCGTTATCGAAGAAGGTGTACCGTCGATAAATATCGATACCGTTTTATCGCCCAGGCCTAGCAGCTCTATACTCGTACTGTACAGACTAATTTTATCTGTTACTTTCTTCTTTCAGATGAATACAATTGGAGTTATATAAAAAAAAGTCCTGATTATTCCAAGCTTTATAATGGCAGAGAATGGATGATATTCAATAGTCCAATAGAAATCCAATAAAGTGCATCCATTAGGGGTGGAATGGTTCGCAGAAAAAGATCGAACCATACGGTTCTCCACACACGGTTCGGCACGCGCTAGGACTGCGGTTCAACTTAAATCTGACAACGCATCTGTAATATGGTTTGCTATAAAAAAAAAAAAGAAACGTGGACAAACCATTCACTCTTGTTCAATGCGACTGCCGTATGCTGGAATATGAGCAGTCATTTATCGCTCTTGATTGAATAGCTTTTGTAACTTTAATAAAGACTGATCTTTAATTTATACAGTCAAATATGCAATGCTGTTTTACATTTCATTACTTTATTCAATTTCTGTACCTAAAAACCTAATGTTAGACCTACCTAAAAAACCTTCAAAGCACTCTTCATTTTGTTTATCTTTGCTCTATTGTATTTATTTGTGCTGTTGCTTGTAGTTGGATTATTTGTTCTTATTTTCTTTATTTGACAGTATAGTCCTTTTCCCCCCTAAAATAGCACATACCGAACCGTACCGAAACCATGACTGTAAAACCGTGATACAAACTGAACCATGAGTAATTTGAACCGTTACACCCCTATTCTTATAGATCAACAAATAAATTAACAAATGTAATGCATTTCAATAGTTTTACCAGAGTTTATCTTAGATATAACAGATGGTTATATATTACATATTTATATATATATTACAATATTACAATAGCATTCAGTTGAAAATGTGGTTGTTGTAGCTTATACTATCATAGCACATACCGAACCATACCAAAACCGTGACTCTAAAACCGTGATACAAACGTGAGTAAGTTGAACCGTTCCACCCCTAGCATCCATCCATCATAAAAAGTGTAAGCTCCGGTGAGAAGTGATGAATGCAGAAGCGCAGAGGAGAGAGCAAAAGTATAAAACGAGGATTTGTAAATAAAAAAGTCGGGAGGATTTTGATATAAGCCAAAAGGACACTGATTTTCCTTTGCTAAACAAAGAAACTTTGCTTCCTTTGCTCCTGTAAACAAAACAATGGTTCTCGCGAGACTGATTGAATATCAACAGCCATTCACTGCCATTATAAAGCTTGGAAGAGCCAGGACATTTTTTAATATAACTCTGATTGTATTTGTCTGAAAGAAGAAAGTCAGATACTGTACACCTAGGATGGTTTGAGGGTATAAGTAAATCATGGGGTAATTTAAATTTTTGGGTGAACTATCGCTTTAATGTTAGTCTACAGAATTTGTATCGGTTTTATCATCCACTGACAAAAATCCCAACTACATTTGTTCAAATCACTAACTTTAAGCATGCTGTAACAAACACCACTAACTATTAGCAATCGGTACTGGGCAAAACTGGGATATAACGTTGCTTCCCTTGAAAGGATTAAAGTTGTTTTAATCTATGACATGCTAAATTAGCAGTTTGCCAGAAGAACAACAGAAATTATTATGTATATTAACTATGCAAGACATGTTTATTATCTGTCAGTCAAGTCCAACTAAGACTTGACATCTAATACCAGACAAAGATCAGGGCAGAAGGACAGCAGCCTAACGGCAGGCTCATGTCTAGACATGGTCAGTGAGGGTCAAAGCAGGCATGTCGGTTGGTGGCGTCTTACCCTGGGTGCATGTTGTTCTGCAGGGTCTGCAGTCTGGTCTTCACCAGATCCAACGGCTGGAACAGCAGAGTGGAGCAGGTGCCGCTGAGAGAGCCGCACATGAAGGCCTTCAGGGCAGGATGAGCCTGAGAGAACAAACCCAGAAATTTGAGAAAACAAGGACTGAAGGAGAAGACAATGGTTAATGTTAGAAAAGAGTATGAATGGATGGATATAAAATGTGGGGTGACAGCAGAGGAGAAGTCAAATAACTGTCGGATGACAATTGGAATGGAACAGAAAGATCAGATGATGAAACTACAGTTTAAGAGAATACAATTAAGGCAGCGCTTTAAAGGGGCCATATTCAACCTTTTATTTTCCTTAAGACCACTTATAATTTTAGTCCAAATTTGTTGCACCAAAAACAGTCATAGTTTAGATTTATGACCATCTTTCACCCCTTCTCTGACCCTTAGAATAAAACAGGTTGTTTTTGCTACTGTTCATTTAAAGATGAAATGTGTAATTCCTGAAACAGTAGGGCTGGGTATCAATACAGATTTACAGATTTGATTCTCATTTACAAGCTCGATCCAGCTCATTTGAGTATATTCCAACTGTGCATTTTTTGCTCACATATGAAAAATCTCTCATCGAATCCTGTAAATTATTCAAGACAGTGTTTCAGACTAATTCAAACAGCGACTTTAAAGACATCTACTGTATATGTTAAACCTGTCTAATGAATGACTAACCTCCACAATTTACAATGTTGTACTACCCTGTTCTCATGAATATTATATATATATATATTTTTTTTTACTCACTTCTGTATGGCTGATTGTATGTCTACATCTTTCTTTGTTTAGATAATAAAGAAGTAAAAAATTTGATAAAAACCTTAAGGGCCTTCACTACAAAACACCGTGTGCCACACACAACCTGAAAAGTGAAGCTAAAACATTTTGATCGCCATCTGGTGGCTGGCTGCAGTCATAAACCCCACCCTCTTCATGTAAATGAATGGGATATGAGCCAAACTAAATAAACAAATTACACTACAAATAAATTTTTCCCAAAGATGGTTTCCATCATTTTAGGTAGTTCTTGTCAAGCTAACGTATGTTCAAGTGTTTTTCAAATAAGTTTGGTTTTAGTTAGTTATTTGCTATAAAAACAGGGTGTGGTGTCATGATTGTGAACTTGCGATTGGGTCTGCGGGAGTTTGATACCATGGCTCCACCTCACAATCACTACTGTGCAGTCTCAGGCTCTAAATGACGTCATTTTCGCAGGATGACAGCAACCATACTGAGATGTTTTGGCTTCACTTTTCAATAGTGGAAGGAAGTGGAGACTAATCGTCCATCTTTTTTTACAGTCTATGTAAAACACCAAAATAAAAGTTTGGTTTAACTTGAATATATTACCAAAAAATGCAATATTGTGTTGTAGAGGGATTTTTATTACGATTAAAAACAAATTAAATTTTTTTTAATTCAATTGATTAGACAAGCTTTCTGATTACTAAAATGTAATTAATCCTTTACAACAAAATCAGGGGGAAAAAAAACTGCATTTTGTAAAGTAGCATAAATATAAAACAAAATGAAACACATTGAATAAAATAAAACAGAATTGTAAAAAATTAAAATACACTTCATATGGCTGAAACATGGGCATTCATATGCTAATGTACTCAAGGAGGCCGTGATGTCAAAACCATGATGATTCCTGCAAATGAACAACATATTTTTGCAGCTTGGTTTTCATTAAAGGGTCATATGATGCGATTTCAATTTTTCCTTTCTCTTTGGAGTGTTACAAGCTCTTGGTGCATAAAGAAGATCTGTAAAGTTGCAAAGACTAAAATCTCAAATCCAAAGAGATATTCTTTATAAAAGTTAAGAGTCAACCACACCTACCTAAAACGGCTCATTCTAACACCTGTCTACGTCACAATGTGGGAAGATTTGCATAACGCCGCCCAAATGTTCACGCAAAGAAAGAAGGTGTAACTTTTATTCTCGCTGTAGTATTGTGGATAGCTGGCCAATCAGCGTACACCTCGCTTTTCAGACCGATGAGCTAAGTAAAAATCGATGCGTTTCAGAAAGGCGGGGCATAAAGGAGCAACAATAATGTACATTATGTGGAAAATAATGTGTTTTTTTAACCTTAAACCGCATAGACACATTGCATTACACCAAATACAACAAAAATTTATTTTTAGCAACGTCATCTGACCCCTTTAACATTCTGGGTGGACTAGGAAGGGAGCTCTGCACTGTAAAAGTTTTATTTCATAAGAGCAGAATAATTCTGTTTTCCAATTTATGCCTCCTTTAACAGGCTTGGGTACAAAAACAAAAGCCTTCATTTTCTCAACACAACAGTCACCATCTACTGCAAGAGCACTAAACACCACAGTGACCAAAAATGACACCCCAGATAAAAGGATATTCTCACGCACTGAATATCCATCCAACATTTAGAGCCCTGCATGGACACCAAACCTTACAATACATTTATGCAATGTACATTTATGCAAATAAAAAACGTAATATGTTGTTTGTGCATGACCACACGTACACATGAACGCACTTCAAAACTGACCATAATAGAGAATCACACTCAACACAGATGCACAGGCACACACTGACACCGTCAGCAACATCACACGCACACTGACATGCACATCAAGACTCGAGCACTGCCGACAGGCTCCCCGGAGTGCTGAGATTAATTTAGAAGCATGAAAACAGCAAGACACAAGTGATGGGCAGACGCACACACAACTCCGCAGAAACACACAAAAACACACACTAGAGAAACATACAGTGAGCCACTGACTAATCTGCCCTACCTTTCCCAGGCTGCTGGCAGATTTGGGCTGAGGGTCCTTTTTCTCTTGCATCTCTCTCTCTCACTCACTCTTTCTGCTGCCGCTAACAGCACATGACAGAGTAAGCCCCCATCTCTCTCCTCTCAAACACAATGCCCACAAATCTCTCTTTAACCCCCTCCCACCCAACAGCAGGAGATTCAACAGCTTAAATTTCAAGCTTCCGTGCTTGCCAATCTCGGCACTGGTTTTCCGCACTCCTTATCACACCTAAACGCACATCCGTGGTTTCAGTCCCCCCGTTTGTGTTCCAAATCAAGTGCTTTCAGAACAGTGTGAGTCATGCAGTTGCTGAAGGCATATGTATATGTGTGTGTGCGTGTGTGGATGTGACAGAGGAAATGTGGGTCATACATTGGATGCATAGCCTATATCAAATTATTCCAACATAGGTTCAGCCGGGAAGCACAACAAAGAAAATGACTTTTGGATCTTTATATGCCTTTTGCACGTAAAAAAGGTTTTGTGCTGAGAAAAACAGTGTCACCAAAACATACACACTCCCTCAGCCTTCCAATACAAATAAGAAATTAAAAATAATAAGATATAATTGCTTTTCTCTACTAGTGAATGACTGAAATGTTGGTCAAAACAATAATTCTGCAGGTATTTGGCCCTTTTGAGACAATCAGCATCAGCCGGTGACTATGACTGATTGGTCAGTAAACACAGGTAGAAGTTTTTGCATCAGTTAAAATATACAACATTCTTAATGGAACATGCACATTCATGTTTTCAAATATTTTTGTGAATTCTACGTTGATATTGTGTAAAATAAGTGCTCATTTAATTTCAGCAACTTTGTGTATGTTTCTTTGAGTATCAGTGAATTTTATTATGTCTTGACATTATGTGTTATATTGGACAACCACTATTCTTTTCCCAAAAGAATGTCACAAATTCAAGCTGATGTTAATGTTTAGTTATATCAGAAAAGTGTGACACTGGCTTTTTAATAGCCAGTCAGGTTAAGTAGCTTAATCGCAGGATATTCTAATATATTCACCTTCAAGTTATTCAATATTTCATTTTTAACCTCAGTAAAACAAATCTACATTAAAGCACACATCCTTAGCACCAACTCACCAGGGCAACCTCCATTGCAGATGGAGAGGATGATGATGAAGCTTGCACAGAGGAAGAGCTCAACTTCCTCCCCTTTATCTGTTCTATGGCCGTTGTGATGTCTGAGACGTCAAAGCTTTGATTCCAGACTGTATGAGGGAGAAATTAATTTAATACCCAACCTGATTAAGTAAGCACTTCTACCATCACACGAGAGAGAGAGATTTAAGTTATATTTAATGTTTAACGTACCTGTCTCTTAAGGACCGAAGAGGAAGAGTGAATGAGGACTGATCTTCATCATGATTCTCGCTCTTTCTGTCACTTTACGCACAGCTGTCAACAGTACATACGGAGCCGACTAATTTAAACACAGAAACCACCATTTAATTATTAAAATATTACATAAACGTAGAAATCTGCAGCATACCACAGAATTAAATGTCAAATAAAAACAAACTACTAAAGCAGATCTTAGTAAAAGCTAATGCTAATTTCTCTGGCCCGGCATAACGTTACTTCAAATATCCTACAACGGCTAACAACTGATAATTGTTTTCTTCGTAAAATACAAAACTGAAAATAAACACATTGGAAAATATTGGAAATAAGGTGGTGCAATACACGTCAGCTGATTTCTGTCAGTTAGCCGGTAATGCTAACAGTCACCTCTCACTCCATCACAAGCCATACACTTTACCTTACATACAGTTGTTCCGTTTTCCAGTATCTCCAAAAAAAAATTGTTTCAGGCAAACAATGTAACGTACAAGTTACTAAATTGAAGGTGAAACAGCAGGCGTTCGTTACACAAGAGTTTTCAACACCACATTCCTGCGCGGACACCGTGAGCAGTGAGTTTGGAGTTACGCTTGCGCGAGAAAGTTGTGCGCTGTTTGCGTAACTTACTATATGCGTAGTCTGCAGAACAACGGGCAAGAACCGGTTTCAGCTCGATTATTCCAGCGGTGCCGGTTACACGTGCTCGGGGGAGAGACACTTGATGCGCGAGGCTTGATGCCCCCACTGGAGCTCTGAGGTAAATGTCTTCCCAAACACTGAATTTATTTAACACTGCTGTCATCTCTCGTGATAAATAGGGCATTCTTTCGAAATAAACGAAAGTTAAGCCGTGGTTAAAAAATACGTATTTTTGAAATGCCTCTAATACATATTAATAGGGACTGGACTTTATTACTGGTATTGGTCATTTGATTGATGAGTTTTAGAGCTCGTTGTAGTGTCATAAGCATAGACTGTGGTCATAAGGCGGCGCTGTTGCGCATTCTAGACACTATTGCGCAACAGCGCTTCAGACTGCTTCAAAGTGATTCTCAATCAATAAATAGCGCATATTTATGCCAAGTGATTATGAACTCGAGTTGATGAATTATGACAATGTCTACTTTATGACCTTTATATACGTTCTAGACGGTGGTAAGAATGCATATTTTATCTCTCATCTGAAGGTTCAGCCTGCAATAGTATAAACATTTCAAAATAAGAGTCCTGGTGTATTTCGGGCTTGTTTATAATTAAAAGTCACACGTTAAGTGTTTTTTTTTTTCCTGGGCATTATTGGTATTTTGGTTACACAATAAATACAATTGTAATTTAATTCAATTTCCATTTAATTCATAGTAAACTATTGTAGTTTCTGGCTGGGATGCTTTCCCACAGAAAGAACAGTCAAAGAACAGTTGACATATTATTCAATATATAGATTTTACTAGTATCAGTAAAATTTGTGTCCCATTCACTGAGAGACACTATATGACAAAGCAAGGAGAACTGTACCATTTAAATGCTGTAATTTTGCATAATTTACAACACATAGGAGTATGTAATTAAAAGTAATAGTAGCCCATGTAATTGAAATTAATTTCAATAAATAAAAATGAAGGATCACACAATATTTGTCACATGTAGTAAACCATTTTTGTGCTGTGGGTAGTAATAGGAGGATTTTCCACCTGGCTACCACTGCAAGTATATTTCAAACCTGTGGGAAGCACTGCAACCATTTTATTATAAATATTTTATGAATGTGCCTTTATAGAGTTTTAATCTACAGTCTTTCAGTTATCAGCACAAATCTTTAACCATTTGATCACTTTATTCATTAAGAAAATCTCATCTATAATGAAATACTGCTGTGTTTGGAAGAATTAGAGGTAAAATTGAGGGTACAAAAAAACAAAGCTTTAATCAGATGCACTGAAACAGTATGTGACATTAAAAGTGAGGAAAATATATTTTCAATTGTTCCAAATACAGTCAGTCCACTACCATTGCACTGAAGCTTGACAATTTATAGGCCCATCAAGATTCTCCAAATGGAGGGTTAGAAACATACAGCAGGAAAAATATATAGTATAATGTATTATGCAGACAAATACTGTATGACAGATTAATCATTTTAGCAAACATTTAAAATTGAATACAAAAAAATAAAAGGTAGAGTACAAATGAAAACTTTTACACACCCCACCACCTAAAGTTTGAACTTCAAAAACAAGAAAAAAAAAAAAAATTGTTTGCAGTAATACGTGGTGTACAAATCCTGAGAACTCTCAAACTTTAATAATATTTTATGTAATTAAGGCAAACAGTCTTAATTTTAAAAACAGTAGAAGAGGTGGAAAGGTGCCAGTGAATCTATTAGGAAAAAGGCTTAATTGGTGCTGAAGTGCTCTTGAAACAAAATAACTAAGATTAATCTCTTTGGCTGATGGGTAATATTCCTGCAAATCCTGGATCATTTATTATTATTGAATAAGGAAATTTCTTCCCATTATAAAAATTTCCCAACATTTAATTTACTTTGAAAATGGATGAATACTTTGTCTTCCATGTAAAATATAAATAGCCAATATTTATTCAAATGCATTGTAAGGCAGTTATCAACAGGGCAAGACAAATTACGCCAAATGAACGGTTTCAGTTTCACTGGAAAGATAAAGTTTGATAAGTGGCAAAATGAAAGTTTTTTTTTTTTTCTTCATCCTACATTTTTTTTGTTGTTTATCTTGGACGCAAAGTTATGGCTTGAATAATTGTTTGGCTCAAAATCTGCTTTAAAACATTGAAAATTTTCAATGTTTTAAAGCAGATTTTTACATATTTGAGATTTTGATTAAGGATACAGTTGCCCTCAAAGCATACAAATTTCATTTAAACTATAAACTTGGTGGCAAATAACAGATCCTCATCTGTAATACCCATAGGCTCAGCTTTGATACGCTGAAATTTACTCAGGAGTTGGCTCGGACCCATCACTTTTTAGACTGTTCTCCTCATCACTATCCACACCTGAGCGTCCAGCTGTACGACGTACGTTGACAGTGAAATCTCCCCGCCTGAATTAGACAAACATAAGTTATATAAAACACTTAACATGTGGCACACAAATTTAAACAAGTGTTTCAGACCGATTTGTCAGTAATTTCTCATTTTAAAACCAACGTTTGTGGAAGAATGATACAGTACCATGACTATAACAAAGCAGCAGAGTACGCACCTGAGTTTGTTCTTTAGGGTGCTGACCTCTCGGTTCATAAGATTAGCAGACTCTGTGGCATCTTCCAGCTCTCTCTGCAGCTTCCTGCGGGAGGCGTTAGCTCGAGCCGCTTCCTCCTCAGTCTCCTCTAGCTGCCCCTTCAACTGCTTCATACGAGTGTTCAGCTTCTCAGTCTCACAAAGAGGAAGATTATTATTAATAGCATTCAAAATACGGAGTTATAACGATACTTACATTTCAGCTGTCCACCATTAAGAGTAAAACTGTGACTATTAAATAGGAACATTAACTAGTAATAAAGACAGCAACAAAAGAGGTCTTGAATTTAAATGAGCTGTAGGAGGTACAAGTGGATCAAATCACCTTTGATTGAGAATGTATAAAGATCAAATTAAGACTCTGCCTTGGCTTTGCAGTAGTTTGAACAAGCTTACTGCATTATAAATTAATTGCACAACCTACCTCATTTTTGAATTGTTCTGCATTGCGTCTCTCATCGTCAACCTGCAGTAAGATCTCTTTGAGTTTCTTCTCCATACGCCGCACCTGTTTAGTGGACTGCTGCCTCTCCCTGACAAGAAGTAAATTAAGTTTGGTTTAGAGACGCAAAGTAAATCACTGACAGTCATGGAGGAACGCTGCATCATGTTAAAATACTGTAAAATAAAGACCTTACAACACAAGCTGACAACTGAAATGCTATTGGGGGATTTGAGGTGTAATTATGCTGTGCAAGTCCATAATGATATCTCAGAATCAGAATGAGCTTTATCAGAATGAGCTTTATTATATAATAATGATATCTGTATATTATGCCGGTATCTGTGTGGGTTTGAAAGTTGCTGCCAATAACATACACCATCCATCATCACTCACTTCATCTCAATATCCAACTGCTCTTCAAGCTGTGGGATCTTGGCCTCCAGAGCAGCAATAGTGGACTTGTACTTGCTCTTCACAGTTGACTCTAAATCCTGAAGCTTCTGCTTTAGGTCCTTGTTCTGGCGGTCCAGCTGAGAGCGCAAACCCTCCAGACGCTGGCTATTACCACGCTCTGCAGACAACTCCACTGTAACCTGCTCAGCCTGACGTTAAACCAAAATAAAGCCACAGAGAATCATGATGAACACCATTTGAAGTGTTCCCAAATCTCAGCTGTCATCTCATGAAGCTCTCTGTACTCTACCTGCAGTGTCGCTTTCTTCAGTCGATCATTGACCAGTTCCACATTGAGATGTTCCTCCTCAAGTTCCTCCTCAAGCGGAGCAATACGTGCCTCCAGTCTCCTCCTCTCATCGCTGCTCAGTGAGCTGACAGAGGTGGGAAGAAAAAAACCCCACCATTTAAACCACCCAACACTGTGAGATACAAAATACACTTCGATTTTCTAGGACTAACTGTCTGGTGCAGGATACGCTACCAGACAATACATCACAATGACAGCAGGTAACTCACTTCTTGGCATTCTGGCTGTTGATCTCATCCTGCAGTTCATCTCGTTCTTGTTGGATTTGTCTCTTTGCCCTGTCAGCAGCAGCCAGATCCTACAGAGACACAAAAAAAAAAAAAAAAGGAGGAAACGTTTTCCACATGCATACCATTTTATAAAGAATCCTATTCTTCTAAACTAACAAACAATTAAATTGACCCTAGCTGCAGCACAATTCTGATCCAACAAGACAAACCTCATGCAGCTGCATGATCTCAGCCTCCATGCTCTTGATCTTGCGCTCGTTTTCTTTGGCCTGGTTAAGAGCCTCATCTCTGGACAGACGCAGATCCTCAAACTCTCTCATCTGATCTTTCATCTGGGCCTGCAAAGCAAGAGAGGAAATGACACTGATACCATGGTTACTGCATGTGCTCTAATTATTTTATTCCACATGCAAAAGTACAGATCTGATTTCTGGTTCCTGAAACCAGAAATGTCCCCACCACTTTAATACAAAAGGGATGCCCATGCTCATGCAGAATGTGTATGTGAATACCTGTAGTTTCTTGAGCTGTCTGAGGGCCTCATCTCGAGCCTTGTTGGCATTGTCGATCTGAGCAGCCAACTCCGACAGATCCAGCTCAAGCTTCTTGCGCACAGATACGGCCTGAGCCCGTTGTTTCCTCTCATCCTCAAGCTCCATCTCCATCTCACGCACCTGACATATTCAAGCATAATATCAGTAGATGTGTATTCTCGCAGTTTCCCCAACATGCATCAGCATCTCATGGATTAACACTGTTCTGAAGAGGTCAGGCAGGTGAGCACATACCTGTTTGACTAGCTGTTTCCGTTTCTCCTCACCCTGTTCATCTCTGCTCTGAAGGTCTCTCTCAAACTGAGTCTTCATGGCCTGCATGTTGACCTCCAGGCGCAGTTTGGC